CTATGCTCTTTCACACGCGGTCATATCCGTGTCTCAGAGCGGCTCACAGTAAATGCTGCTGCTCCACGCGAGTTTAGACCATTACACCAATATCGTGGCATTAAAATTTAATGTTGTACAATACTGAAACACTGTATTATTATTTTTTTCGTGTATAACCGACGAACTTAACATAGACTGAAAGTAGCAAGCTAACGTTAATTGTGGGGCTGCTGCTCGGTATAATAGTTTTCAAGAACATTATGTAAATTGGTAAACTATTTAGCCTAGGCTACTAAAACGAACACAAACTTAACATGAACTGTTAAAAATTATAGCAATTTATGCAAAAAAAAAAGGATGGAAAGCTGGCAGCCTGCACATTTCTTACCTTGACCAACTTCTTCCATATGCATCAATTTTCTGTTCTGATCTCAACAAGTCTGGGCAAACTAGCATATTGAGTAGCCACCCATCAGAGGCCGCATTTTTATGATGTCATCATGTAGACTTCTTACAAAGTATTTTACAGTATTTTAAAACTACAAAAATACAAAACACTAAAGTATTTTGATACAAAATACGAAGCCATTTTCATCAACCCTATCAAATACAAATTACAAAATACTATTTTGTATTTGAAATACATGTATCATAAATACTGCCCATCCCTGTTTATAACTAATATTCAAAATACTCTGAAACGAATATTCTGCTTGGATTAATGTCAAATAGTAGATATATCTGTTGAAACACACTTTAATAAGTGGCTTGGAAACTGTAAACACTGTAAACTCTGCTTTGCATTTCTTGCCTATAACAAACACCTTGTGATACGTTTATCCTCACATCTCGCTCTGTATTTTCACATTACTCAATGTTTCTTCATTGTTGTCACATGAAAAAAACAGAGCAGTTCTGCTCACTGATAAGAATCCACTGCAGTATAAACAGTACAGAACAATCTCAAGAGAGTGACATTTCTACCATCACCCAGTATATTATACAGCCCAACCTTAAATCACCAGTGTTCTTTTTCTAGTTCTTGCTAATATTGTCTCTCACTGCACCAGCAAACACCAAACTCAAACTCACCAAACTCAAAACCCAAAATCAAACTGGATGAGTGACTGAAACTGGTTGCTGGTTGATGTTGGTGCAGTGTGAACCAGCCTTTATCTTACTTCCTCCCTCTCCTCAGAAGTTGAGGTGCTGCATGTCTGTGTGTCACCACAGGTTAAGGGTTTGTAGAGAGAGGAGGTCACCTTTCTGTCGGACGGAGCACCAGATGGTGACGATGAGCACACAGATGACCGTGAAGACCAGCAGAGCCAGAATGCCCCCGATCACTGCATACGGAACAGCACTGTGGGTTTCTACCACTGCTCCGGGGTCTGAGACACACACAAAAAGTTTGAGCTTTAGCATTTTAACTAAAAAGAAGCGACCTGTGAAAACAAAGAACTGTGATTAAAGCATCATGTTTTTTTATTGCTTGCATTTTATTAGTTGAAAGAGACAATGACTGCAGAGGAAAGATGCCATCAGAGTCTGTGTGTGAAGTATACAGTAAAGTTTTACCTAAACTGACAGATAGGAAACAGTGAGAGGCAGGCAGACACTCTGAATCATCAACACATGAGGCTGGACAGCACCCTTAAATATTTAACAACCTGTTTACACCACACAGCAGTGGGTAGAAAAGCAAAATAGGAGACATAGAGACAGAGTGAATGAAAGACATACAGACAGAGAGAGCAGAAGAGAGAAAGTGACATACCAGACGAGAACAATGCCAAGAAAGAGTGAGGAAGGAAAGTGCTGTATGTTTGCTTGCAGGGCAAAAATCAACCACCAATAAGTAAAGTTTTCATGAGTGCCTGAAAAAAAAGACAAGCGACCAAATCTTAAAAGGATAGTTCAGCCAAAAATGAAAAATTCTGTCATCGTTTTTTTTTTTTCACCCTCACTTAGTTCCAAACCTGTATGACTTTATTTCTGTGAGACAAAACTGCAATAGCTCATGACCAAGGCTGTTATTCTCTAAAATCTGAAAAAAGATACAACTTTACAATCAGGGTTATTATGTATTAATTATGTATTAATTTAGCTCATTATCAAACTATTGAAAACATGTTTGTTAATTTAATTAAATCTGAGAAAATATATAATATTAGATGAAAAACCTGAACTAAATGAAAAATAGATATGTTGCTCTAAAATTAATACTAAAATTATTCACTGGGAATAAATTGAAACTAAAACTGAAATGAATAAACCTTAATAGTGATATATACAGTATATACAGTGATATATACAGTAGCAAAACTCTGCAGGACTGTGGCTTTCCAGGACTGAAGTTGCCCACCCTTGCAATAAGGTCTTGTTTATTAGATAATGCATTTGCTAACATAAACGAAAAAAAAAACAGCAAGAGTTTATTAATTATTGTTGATGTTAATTGATCTTTAGTCATTAAATAATCTACTCATATCGTTCTAAACCTGTATTATTAATTTTTTTGTTAAACAAACAGTTTTGTTTACTATTGACTTCCACTGTATCCACAAAATACCTTATTTGTGTTTCACGGAAGAAAGTAAGTCATACATTTTTGGAATGACATGAGAGTGAGGAAATGATGACAGAATTTTTGTTTTTGGGTGAATCGTCCCCGTTCACTATGTACCCTCATTGTATAGAAAAGAGCTGTGTAGCGTCTGGACCAATCAAAAACACAATTTTTATTTGATTTAACAAATCAATTATTCATTAGATTAACAAATGTTCACAGACCCCTCACCCAATAAACATACTGGGTGCCAAGTCTGTGTGAGGATTCTTCAAATTCACCTTTTGTGTTTCACAGAACAGCATATGGATCTGGAACCACCAGAGTGAGTAAACACATTTTCTTTTAAAAGAGTATTAATTTAAAGGTGAAGGGTGTAATAATGTTCTTCTATCGGTAAGCCATACCGATTGCTCCGCCCCCAAACACACACCATTGGTTGAGCTGATGTTGCAGTGTGGGGCTGGTCAAGATTTTCAAACAAACAAAACAATGTTTTCACCACAGAGCCCCAGTGTTTACATTTTTCGAGGGAAATAAACCTACAAATAGCTTTACTTACAGTTGTCTCTGCATATTAAGCTGGGATAAGAGAAAGTATTTATACATCAAAAAAATTACACACTTCACCTTCACCGCAAATGCTTCAGAAACAGCGGGAGAGCTGGAGAGAGGGAGGTCGCCTTTGAACAGGCTGTCGAGTAACATTTCATTAGGAGTCCATTTCAGAGACGATGAAAAATTAATGCTTCTCCCTGCCTCACACACACAACTAGCCACCCGTCGCTGAGGAAGTGACATTAAAGAGACCAGAGCGTCTCTCGCTTCTACTTGCAGTTGTCTTTCTCTTCTAGTCTGTTCTAGAAAACACAGTCTTTATCCCTTCAATTCTTGCTGGATACTGGAGACAGCAAACAATGCCAGTCAGAAAGAGGAAGAGCAAGATGTGTGAGAAAGATAGAGCCAGCAAAAAAAGTGTCATAGATTCAATGACTGTGCACTTTGAGGTGCGTGAAATGGAAATGGTAGAAAATGCATCTGATATCTTCTGCAGGTCAGTGTGCTGGAGCTGCTGTGTGAGGTTTGTGCAGTGTTGTGTGATGCTGATGTCTTGCAGTACAGTGAAGTCTCTTAGTAGTTCTGTCAGGTGGGAGGATCAAGGGCTCCCGTTTGACCCGACCTCACATCCCACAACATCATGAATGACAAGCGATGCCGTGTAGAGCCGGGCCTCTTTTAAGGGGTCATGTGTCTTTTTTTTTTGCTCTCTTTCTTGCTCTCTCTTTTAGCGTGTGTTTCTTCATCTGTTCGCAGCCTCTTAAATTCTAACGAAAAACAAGGCGCAGCAGCTGAGTAGATCCTCTGGAGAGCAGTGCTAGTGCTTCAGATGACAAGGGCACTTGGAAGACAATAGGATTGTGTGCACATGCATCTTAAGGAACATTAATAAACACAAAACATGAATGAGAAGATGAGAAGCTAGGCGGTTTAGCAGGAGAAAACATATGGAACGAAGCTGGTTTCAAAGTAAGCATTGGAGTAGAGCCGTCAGGGAGGAATTTGCATATGTTGAGGTGGAAGACGATTAAAAAACTGGATTTGCATTTCCTGAAGGAAATAACAGTGCTTGCAAGCCAGCAAACAGTAACAGTAAAGTTTAAGGTAAAATTATAAAAAAAAAAGCTGTGAAACCAAAGACAGAGCCAGGGAAAAGACAGAAATTGACAATAATATGCAATATAGATGGATGAGTAAGCCTAGTGTCCTGCCTTTGTAGCTTGAAGACACACAGAAGGAACAGATCAAACATGAAGTAGAATGCAATTTTTTTTTAGAGTGCATGTAAAAAAAGACCAACGCTGCTTCCCAGTTCGCCCACCTATACTATGCTCTAAAACTGTCATTTTGTGAAGAAAAAGTACGTGCTTTGGGACATACCATCACGTCATAAAATTTCATTTTTAACAGCCAATCTGTCGCATTGTTACACACATCCTGGTAGTGTAAACTGGCCTGTCAATCATCTTGTCACAGGTTACATCCTCTGTACCTTGATCTTCCAGTCGTGGGACTTTCATGCAGAGAACTCACCCTCATGTTTTTTTAAAAGTTAATGGCCAAATGTATCTATAAAAAGTTCACAATGTTATTGCAGATGAAATATAACACGGATTACATTAAATAAATATCACGTGAAATGTTGATTATTATCACTCAAACATCTTTATCTTAAAGTCCGCGTCAACCGGAAGTTGCTGCCGACTTTATTTCAGTGAAGTGACGTATTTCCAGCTGAAATGGAATATTGAGGAGAGGGCGTGGTTTTATTTTTGCGCTTCTCCTCTCATCTCTCACTCATAGCAAACTAACAGTTTAAGGGGTGTGTTTAAGGATATTCTTCCCAAGCCGTCAAACTGACGTCATCAGAGAAGGGATGCAATTCCAGAGCAGAAGTAAATGTTCAGATTTTGATTAAAGATTACCAAGACAAACCATTTTTTTCAGCGGATTAACTTGCACGGATTAATTGTTCACATCAAGACTAGCAATGTGCGCTAGTAAAGTAAATAAAGTCCATTTTGATTTAATGCGGACCTTAATTTCTTTACCGTCAGTCTTGCATATCTGCCATTTTTGTAGTTTTTGTAGCAAATTCTCCACCAAGATGCAATGGGTTAGAGTGTGCACGGATTTGCACTTTGAATTTTCACTGTAAATAATAGACCATCCAAGTAACTTTGGGATAGTCACTTCAACATACCATGATTGGAGACACACTAATTCTAATTTCAAATACTATTTAGGACAGCTAGTGTGCGAATTGGGATGCAGCACAACTGCAGTTCTGTATGCACATATCACAGTGACATCATCTTAGTCAGTTACATTTGGAATGCTGAACATTTTATCAACAAAGATGTGTTCATGCCATGTTGGAGTTACCATAATTATGAGATTCTGACTTGTACTGTAAGAAACATTCACATCCTCATAGAACTTGTAATTGCAACTTGTCAATTCTTAATTCTGAAAGCTCCAACTTGTACCTGTCATGCAGCATCACACAGAAACATTCAAAATGGCAGCAAATTCAGCAGGTAAATGTAGTTATGTAGTTATCTCTTACTATTTCTTATATCTCTTATAAATTCCAGTAATTGACTAAATGTAAATGCAAGACTAATCTGAAAATAAATGAAAGACACAATACAGTTTAATGTAGCTAGATCAGAGTTGGACAACTAATACCAAATTTTTTGCTAAATAATCTAAATAAAAGTTTATTAATAAGGTATTTGCATAACAACTGTTACTTGTTTTATTTGGGTTTTGTCTATCGATTGCTCGATTTACACAGATTCATGTTGCCATTAATAGAGTTGAAATAGAACACATTATTCTGAGGACATGAAATGCATTAAGTAGAATGTCTGGGTTGTCATATAGTTACTGTAATTACAACATAGTGTGAATGCACCATAAATCAATAAGACAACTGAATAAAATTTTTAAACAGATATAAACTTTACAATAAACAAAAAGATTATATGAAGGGCTGACAGTAATTCACAGGGACAATCACTGAATATATTTAAGCGCTGTCAACATATGAGTTTTCCAAGGCTATAGTGTTTAACAAAATATATATCAAAATATTATCATCCATTATAAGTAGTGGGTGTTTTGGATAAAGTCTCAAAAATTACTGATTAGTTTTCAATGGAATATATCATATTCCATTGAATATGATATTCCATATGAAATTATGAAGAAAATAATTTACAAAACAAATAAAGCAAGCAGAAATAACTGCAGAAATGTGTAGAAGAATGAGAAGATGATAAAATATTACTACAGTGCTCGTTGTGCAAGCACTGTAATCAAACTGTCACTCATTACAGAAATGAAGAGGTTAGCCAATCACAACAGAGGTTGTTTACATAATTCTTACAGCTACAATAGCAAAAACAGCCCGATTTATTCTAAGGGATAGAAAGAAATTCAAATGTAGTCGTGCAAAACTTTGGTGCAATAAACTAACATTAAGTACAACTCAGGAAACAAAGGGAGGTAAAAGGGAAGTGAACAATGTAAAGGAGATGAGGTAAGGTGAGGTGATGGAAGAAGGTTTACCTTGGTATTCCTTTGTAAAGCTGGAGGATGGAAGGATGGGGTGAGCGATGGCAGGATGAGAGTTGGGAGGGACAGACACTACAAGGGAATGGATTTACAACAGGGTTATTTACTAACTACTGCAGCTACATACAAGCACATGCAAGGAAAAACACTAGCAAAGGGTCTATCAGTGTGTGAGTGAGTGTACAAGTGTGTGAGCAAGAGATAAACCGTGATGTTCTTGAATTACACACCCCTCTGCCAGGGTCAAGGGTCTCTTTGCGGGTAACATCTCCAGCCAGCAGGGTGCAGCAGCTTCCTGTTCCACCCTTTCATCTCTCACCACTGCAAAATACTGCAGTTACCGTGCTCCCCGGGCTCAGCTCTCTCTCTCACTGTAATCTTCAATCCCTCCATCCCAAAGATCATCAATCTTACTGCTCTGCTCACCATCCTCCACACCTCTAATATAAGCACTAGCCTTATCGCTCTTTTTCCCCCCCATCTCGTTCCTGTTGCTGCCTCGCAGCTCTCTCCTCCATCTGCATATGGGTCTACAGCTTTTTATGCAACAAAGAGCAGCAACACAGTATTCGTTTGCGTATGTGCGTGGGCTTCAAAACTCGAAAGGATTAACAGCTTGGTACCAGACCGATCAATAACGGACGCAGATCAATATCCCAAGACCAACATGACTCTTTAGAAAGAGGAAGGCAGCTAATCATCACTCTCATTCCTCTCCTCTCAATACCTCTCATCTTTCTCTGTGGCAAAACTTCTATTTTGAACACAACAGTTCAGATATTTAAAGGTATAGTTTCCTCAAAAACAATTCTTAAATGACCCAAAAATGTGAATTCTGTCATCATTCATGTCATATATTCTAATTATCAGTAAGACACTTAATATACTGACATTGTCACTTGCACACAGCAATTTCTGTTATATTTTATTTATTTACTTTTTTACCCCTATTGCTGCTATGTAACTACCCTGTACAACCTGTTTGCACATTCTCCTCTTGTACATTCCTGCTCATCTTAATATTTATTAAGTCTACAGTACACTGTCCTGCGCATTTTATTTTATTCTTATTTTTTTATATCTTACTTTTTCCATACCTATATTTATATATAATTTTGTATTCTTTAATAATTGCACTGTCCATGGAGCGGACCTGACTTAGATTTCACCGCTGGTCATATATTCTCTATATAACCATGTATGTGACAAATAAAAAATCTTGAATCTTCTTGAATCTTGAATCATTTACTAGGGATGTAACGATTCACTCAACTCACGATTCGATGCGATTCACGATTCGATTTTCTCATGATTTGTTTTTAACAAAATAAGATTGGAGACATTATACAGTAAATGAAAAGGTGCCATTTTATTAGGCTATTGCTGCACGTTTCTTTGTGAAATTGAAATATAACAAAACTAAATTGAAATTTTAAAACAAACCCCAAATCAAACAAGTAAGTTACACAAATAAAAGAAATCACTTAATATGAACAAACTAAGGCTCTGTCTGTGCTCTTTCCATTTAAAATAGAGGCAACCACTGGATTTTAATCATGATCCAAACAAAGATGCAGCATATATGCAGCATGAGTAGTTTTTAATCTAAATTAGACTGTATAATTTTGAAACTTGAAGCAAAAACAGAATGGTCTGACTTTAGTTTTGTGAAACTATAAAACATATCTGAACAAAACAGCAGATGAGCTGAATGAGACACAGATTCACTCTCTGACAGCAGGTGGCGCTTATGAACAGCAATGATACAGTGTTTCCTGGGTTACCGCTGTAAACAAAGCAGAGCTGTGCTTATGAACACTACTTTAATATGCATTGTTCAGAGGCAAGATGAAAAGAAAATACCATGTAAACTTTTCTAAAGATAGTCAGTTCCCCTCAGAGATACATTCATATAAACTCCTACTCAAATTGTATCGCGATTTGTTTGGCATCTCAACCGATTTGAATCGTCACATATTTGAATCGATTTTCGACCGGCTCGTGGTTAATCGTTACATCCCTATCATTTACTCACCCTCATGTCAATCCAAACCTTTATTTCATGACATTTATACCTTAGAACATAAGCGGAGACATTCTTCAGACCATAAACAAGGACTGGCACAAAAGGACCATAAGAGTTTCATAAGCATTGACCATACAACTTGTTCCATGTCTTCTGTAGCCTTACTATTGATTTGTGTAAGATACTAACCAAATTAACACTAATTAATTGATTAATTGATATCACTGTGAACCACTCTGACCGGATCATTGAGTTAGTGAGTTGAACTCGATAACTGAATCAATTCCATTTGGAAAACAAAATCAGTTAGACAGTTTTGTGAACCAGTATAACCAATTCACTGAAAAGATCCACAGATCAAAAATAATTTGTTCACAAATCAAAAATGCCTACTTCTTGCATTATCACAATGTGGAAAAAAAAGAAAGAAAAAAGTAATGAAAAAGTAGTGAATAACGAATTTGGTTTGGGTTGTTTCTTGTATAAAGACTGCATATCGCTTTAGAAGGCTTGGAGTATAGCACACAAATCATGTGGATGACTTTTGTTATTTTATGGGGCTTTTGGATCCTTTTTAACCTTGAACGCTTCAGTCCCAATTTATTGTAATTGCATGGAAAGTGGCAGTCAAATTTTTTCCCTTTTATGCTCTACAGAAGAAAAAGAAAGCCTGCACACAAGTTTGGAATGGCATGTGGGTGAATAAATAATGACCGAATTTTGGTTTTGGTTGCCATATTCTGTATTTAGATCCTTTTTTCTTATTACATTTCCTGTCCCTCTTTCCTTTCTCCTCTCTTTTCAGTGCTCCCACTTTCTCATTCATTACATTTCTCTGTTTTTCCTGCACTTTTCCCAAACCCCATCATTTTAAAGGCGTTTCTTCTTTCCTGCTTCCTGCACATCATTACGGCTCAGGCTGGAAGCTGATAAACATTTCATCACACAGATGTTTGGGTGAGTCACGTCAGCAATGTTGTTCTCTGCGATTTTGGGACTCTGGGTTTTGTGCCACATTATAGCACCAAAGAAAGAGAGAGTGGCAGATCTTCAAGTTGTTCTAATTCTCTCTGTATATGGAATCTGTAAATCCCACAGTCTCTCACCTCTCCCCTCTCTGCTCAAAGGCCAAGTCTCTGTCGTCAGCTCGACACACTCCTCGATTCGCCACGCTTAATATTCCTGTCATGACTATCCAAAGGTAAAAATATGACATTTTCAATTACTATATCCCCTCTTGCTCATGCTTTCTTCTCCTTTTCCTGAGTTCCTAAGTGCCCATGTTGTTTCTACCAATTAGAGGCACAACTCATTACTGTGCTACATTTTTTCCTCTCTCCTGCAAGCAACGTTGGTTCTCCTTATCTTTTTCTCCATCCATCCTTTCACTCATTTCAACCTCAGTGGCTCTCTGAGGCTGTTCAATTGTAATGGTTTTTATTGGCAGCAAGGTCCATCATGGCTAAGTACTGCTGCTGTTTTACATAAGCATGTCTCCAGGGGACTATCCTTTGACCGTTTGACTACTGGACAAGCTGCATATGTGGAGGTGAGGAGTACACGTACACATATTCAAATTTGCTTTTCTGTGTTCTCAGTTAATGAAGTTTTCTACCTTCTAATCTTGAATCTAGCACTGAGACACCTTTTTGCATTTATGTATTTTCATTAAAGCATTATTTAGCATGTTTTAGACATTTTCCCTCATAGAGACTTTTGGCTGCTGCCTACAATGTAGGTGATTTCAGATTTAACAGATCTTGTGTAGGCAAAACCTGAACCCACACAGATACATTCCAACAAATATAAAAAGTAGTTACACATTAAAATGTTTCTTAAGTGGGTTTGGCAAAAAAGTGTGTACCAAATATATATGCAAATATTTCCAGACAGACAGAGATAAAGTAGCACAGACAGGCGTACCTGTTGAGCCATGTGGGAAATGCACACTTGCATATCAGTCAGCGTAAATTGCGAAATTTCTGAAAAAACAAAATCTCCTCCTCCTCTGTCCTTTCATCTTTCCTGACTCATTTTGTCTTTCTCTCACCCTCCTCCAGTTTATAATCATCATTCTGTTCGTATTGGCTGTAATTCCTCATTTTGCACTTCATGGCCACTTTAGACATAAAATAAATCAGTGAGAAAAAGCAGCAAGATATTGAGATCAGGCCTCCTCCACCCTCTGGTGTCACTATGACTGCTGACTCATCATCTCAATAGTTCTCCCTCACCCTCTAGCAGTCAGCCATTTCTCGTTTTTTAGTTGCACTGAGCATGGGATTTCCAGCGGATGAAGCCTAAATACGCTGATACTGCTGAGAGTTAACACCAAATCTTGTTCATTTACTCCCACACAAACACATTAAATGGGAAGGTTGGCGTTCTGTGTAGGAGAGCAACGAAAGAAAGAAAAAGGAAGGAAGGAAGGAAGACTGGATGAAAGGAAGGCAGTTGGAAGAAAGGAAGTAAGGAAGGATAGAAGAAAAGAAGGTACAAAGAAAAAAGGAACATAGAAGGGGTGGAAAAGGTAGGAAAGAAGAGAGGGAGGAGGGAAAGAATAAAGCAAAGATTAAAGGAAGGATGTAAGGAAAGAAATAAGGAAGAATGGAAGGTGACGAGAATTGAAGAAAGGAAAGCATAAGTAACTAAATGAATAAAAGAATATGAATATGAAGGAAAGAAAAAAATGGAAGGAAGGATAAAAAGGGGAAAAGAAGGGGTGGAACAAAGGAAGTATTAAACCTAAGGAAGAAAATGACACATAAATGAAGGAGGGAAGGATGCAAGGAAGGCAGGAAAGAAGATAATGAGAAACAAAGGAAGGATGAAAGGATGAAAACAAAGAAAGGAGTAAATGAATGAAGGAAAGAAAAAATGGAGGAAGAATGTATGAAAAAGAGAAAGGGCAAAAGAAGGAAGAAAGAAAGAAATAAAGAAAGGAGAAAGGGCAAAGAAAGATAGAAAAGAAAGAAAGAAAGAAAGAAAGAAAGAAAGAAAAGGAAGGAAGGAAGGAAATTTAGAAAAAAATAGAGGGAAAGGAGAAAAATGAAGGAAGGAACAAAGGCAGAAGGAACAAGGAACAAAACAATTAATAAAGTAAGGAAGAAAAGAAAAATTGGATAGGTGGATGAAAAGAAGAAACAAAGGGAGGAGGAAATGAAGGAAGATAAAAGAAACTAAGGAAGAATGGAAGGATGGATGGATGGAAGGAAGGAAGGAGGGAACAAATAAAAGGGGGAAGAAAGGAGGAAGTAAGGAAGGATGGAATGAATAAAGGAAGAAAAGAAGGAAGAAGTAAATTAGGGAGGAATGCAGGGAGGAAGGAAGGAAGGAAGAATAAACAGGCAGAGAAAGGGATCCTGGGACATTTTCTAAAGTGCAGAGGTGTTTCAAAGCTAAGAGGCTCACCTACACAGAACCGCGGATAGAACGAGTGGAAGAGAGAGGGAGCGAAGGATAGAAGCGGGATGAAAGATGACATTCCCACCCACCTGCGCTCTCCGAGCTGCCTCGTTAAGGTGCGTATTTGATGGCTGTCGTTACAATGCAAAAAAAGGAGGAGGAAAAAAGAGAAAGAAAGGAGGAAGACCTCAGGGGATCTCATTTCTTGCACTCTTTCAAAATACATCATACATCCTGCGGGTCTACAAACACAGCTGGAAGGTGCAGTACCCTGTATAGACCTGGGCGAGAGGGGGAGGACTAAAAAAAAACACACACCATGGTGGGAGAACAAGACATTCAAAGCCACAGTAAACCACCTCTGTAGCTATAAAGAAACCACGCTGTTCTTGAATGGAAAAGAAAGTGTTGGTGTTCGTGTGTATACATATGGAAATGTTTTGTAATTCTGAGAGGTGTGAAAACAGGTTTCATACGAAAGCCTACAGACTTTGACATGCAAAAACGTGGACTCTACTGAGTAGTTTAGAAGGGGTTAGGGTTAATGTCATGTGACCAGGGACATTCGTTTTCTTACCATACACCAGCAGTGTGTAGTGGTCGGCTGCACGGCCGTAATTATTATGGGCCTGACAGAGGTAGGTGCCGTTGTGTGATTGGCTGAGGCGAGACATTTGGAGAATGTTGCCCGTTTTCTCCGCCCTCTCAGGAAGAGTGTCGTTCACTCGTGACCACTGGATGTCACGTGGTCTAGAAAAAAAGACAGCAAAAAACACATTAAGCAATCAAGAATTTATCAAAGGAGCAAGGCATTAAAAGAAAAGTTTAAAAAACAAATATTCTCCAAATAATTAGGCACCAGGGACGAAAGAGAATAGAAATCAGATAATATAAAAAAAAAGATGAAAAAGAGATAAAAGGATTTGGGGGAGGAAAAAAAAACATTTCTTAATCAGTATTTTTGTCGGGTAAAAAATGTAAACAGCCTTAAAACAAATAATTTATATAAATGTATATTTATCTGAAATAAAGTTATCTGTTATTTGTGTATGATAAGATTTGCTTCAGAGAGCATGTTAAATTACTTAATTATTGTTTATTATATCTATAAACCCCACTGATTTTTTTTAAATCTCTGGCGAGCTTCTGAAGTAGGGCTGCACGATAAATCGCATGCGATATTTAACGCGCATCTTGTCAGAAAGCCGGTTCTGTAATCAGCGGTAAATCTCCATCGCCTGTGGGCTTTCACATTGAGCAGCATTAACTACACAGAGCCGTTGTTCACTGACGAGCTGCGCAAAAAATCACGCGAATATGAACGTGGTTTTGCGCAGCTCGTCAGTGAACAACGGCTCTGTGTAGTTAATGCTGCTCAATGTGAAAGCATGCAGGTGATGGAGATTTACCGCTGATTACAGAACCGGCTTTTCTCACAAGATGCGCGTTAAATATCGCATGCGATTTATCGTGCAGCCCTATTCTGAAGTATGCATCTAATGGACACATTTCTAACCCATCCTCAGGGATTTGTGAATGGCAGTGAAGCGATGCAACTGACATTATTAGGTCACATGACAACAACAACATAATGTAGTACATCTGGATTACATTCATACTACACACATTAAAACAATGTACTTTATAATGGTTGCAAATTAATTACTTATTAAAAAAAGTAGCTACTCAAAAGTATTACAGTTTTGGACTTTTAGCCATTCACTTGTCTCTTTCCTAAATGTTTTTGAACGAATCAGTTGAAAGAATGATTCAATGACTCACTCATAAAGAGCCATTTGTTTCATTTGTGAACAAACACACAGACACATATATACATGGGTCAAAGACAAAAAGGGGTTTTCAAGCATCAAAACAACTAAAAATTTAATGCAACTTTAAATTGTTTCCTCAACCATTAGAATGTGTCCTGTTCAATTTTTTATTTTTGAGCAAAAAAACAAACGTACAAAAAAAGACGATCATACATTTTTACCATGATTTACAGAAGACACCCACTACAATGTCATTAAGTGTTTAAAAAAAGGTTCATATACCAAAAAGCTTCTCAGGCATATCTAGAACCAGAATCATTAGATGACATTAAAAGGCTCTATTTAAGGATCACAGTGCAGCCCCCAAGAACTAATTAACTGTAATTTTGAATATTTACCAGTCTTTGCCACTATCCTTCAAAACACTAGGTTTTACCACTGATCTATATAATGAATGGATTGCTCGAGTTCTAAACAGCCAAAACCTTGACCTAAAATCACCAGATTTGAAGCGTATCAGTCACACAGGATTCATTTTTATGTTATGTGTATGTAAATTAATTGTTACTTCAGATGTTATCTGCAATGTTTATGGTCTTTTCGGGCAGGATAAGCGATATATTGAAATTGTTTAGGTGGGTGTGTCAGCTGCATATTTGCCGACACAGGTAACTGATCCAACACAAAATATATTTCTTTGTGTACATAATTATGCAGGAAATATTAAACATGGACATATATCTGGTATTAGTATCAGAAATGGATTTGGATATACAACAACTATTACAATACAAGCATGTTTTAATATTGCTCTATATTGCATTAAAAGTTTACCATGCATCCTTGGAAATAAAGCTTCATGTCTTTAAGTCCGTATCATATGTAGTCAGCGCTATTTCTTTGAATAAGTTATGATGTGTGTATTTTTTATGTCCTGATGGAGCAACATTTCAGACTCTTCAAGATCGTGCAAATTCTTTGGCATTTTACTAGCATTACAGTTTCCATAGGAGTAAAATGTTATGTGTGTTTAATTAATTATTAATTTAACCAACGTTTAAATCATTAACTGCTTCAAAATGCACGCTGTTAATGAAATCATTGTTGAAACTTGTTGTTGTAATCTTCAAACATGCCCCTACAATTAAACATTTACACATTTTACACTCTCTTTCCCCTGCCGTATAAATCACGTAGCCTTTCATTTCTCTTTCCTAGCTAAAACTTCTCTGAGCCCATCTTTCTTTCCTTCCCTCACTCTGTCATTTCCCCATTTCAGCATAAAATGAGTGGCAGCTCAAGCGTCCTCTCTATCTCTCCATCTTTCATTTCTGTAGCGGTCCCTTACGAGGCTCTGGAGAGGCTTAATGGCTTTCTGCTCACAGCCTCTTGGGGAGAAGAGGCTCAGTGACCACGGGCGAGCCGCAGAAAAATGATAGACTACGACAAACATGCCTTCTGAAGGAAGAAAGTGTCTGTGCTCACTGTGACACTGCTGAGGTTGACAGAGGGACACTTTCTCCTTCAATATAAGACGTTTAGTGAGGTAAAAGAAAAATATCGAAGAGAAAAACTCTGAAACTTCATTACACATTTACCACAATTGGCTAAAAAAAGCTCAAATGCTGCTTAAGAATTGTTCCCCTTCAGGAACTCGAGCTGCGTCGAAGTCGCTTTGGGAACGCCCTTGCGTGACCGCGTTAACGAGCGTTGCAACCCGCACCCCTCCACAAGAAGATCGGGGGTTGTGGCGATGCTCTCAGTCGGGGTCTTCTAGACTGAAAACGGATCTGCGGACCGTTATTTTATCTAAGAGGACCTCGGCTAAATGGTCCTTACCATTGTCAGGTCCCTGAGGAAATGTTCATTGAAGTCTTTTTTAATTGTTCACTTTATCCTGTTTTATTTGATTGTATACTGTTATTATTTTTATTATAACTATAACCACCGGTACTGCCATATTACTTTTTTCTTAAAAACAAAATGTAATTTATTTCATATGATGTTATAAATAAATAAATAAATAATATTTATTAATAATAATGTATACTGTATTTTTATTACTTCAGTCTTTCCTGCTACTTCTAGTTAATAAAATAAAATATTTATTTTATATAATTTATAAATAAATGTAGTAATTATACATAGTGTTGTCAAAAGACCCGGTATTTCGGTACCAAGTCGGTACTAAAAAAATTAAAACTTTACGGTACTAGGTTTTCTTAAGTACCGGTGGTACCGAGTACCCGGTCAACCCGGTACAGCTGCAGACTGAGGAAGATCCTGAAACACACCAGCAAACCCTAAAACAGACAACAGTTTACAGATGTTTTTCAGTGGCAGCAGAACTATGACTAAACTTTTGGGTGAAACTTGTTTACTTTTTTCATACTTGTATTACTTGTGGAAAAACTTGAAACACTTTTAAATAAGTATAAAGAATGGCATTGGTTTTGTACATTTAATTTTTGTTTAATGTTATTAATAAAAATGTTGTTCAATTAGCATGTTTTTGTGTTTTGCTTTGGTACCGAAATTGGTACCGAGAACCGTGGATTTTCACTGGTATTGGTACCGAATACTGAAATTTTGGTACCGTGACAACACTAATTATACAATTAGTTTCATCTTGTTTTATTTTATTACATACTGTTATTATTTTTTATTACCTCAACCTTTCCTGCAAAATTAATTTACTTCTTAAAATAATTTGATTTTTAATTTATTAATAAATAAAGGTGGTAATAATTGTTATAAAATAATAATATACAATAAATTTGCATTTTACTTTTCCAGTTACTGCTTTTAATGTGTACTTTGCAATTGAAACTGAAGGGGAAATAATGAGAGAGAGAGAGAGATGGGAGGAGGAACAGAGGACGGAGTCAAGGCTGTTCTTCCTCATGTACAGATGCAGGATCATCTTTGTTCTGAGCCGTTATACTTTATTGGAGCTGGATTGAGATGATCCTCTTTAAGCATTTTGGAGTGTTAGAAGATAAAGCTTCTAGCTTCAGCTTAAAGCTGTTCTTGTGGGACCAGTTCAGATGATTAGTTTTTAAAGCACAAGTCGAAACAGAAATTCACGCACGCTTTCACATCCATCAAAATCTCCCACACGCAACCTGACAGATACATTTCCAAAGAAAAGCACACATGCTCTTGTACACTCACAGTGGGTTGCCGGTAACGGAGCAGGTGAGACTGAGGGAGTCTCCCTCTCGGAGGATGCCCTGAGGGGGAATGATTTTCACCGTAGGAGCAACTGCAGAGATAAAGAGAAGGATAGAGAGAGGGAATAAAACAGGAAAAGAGCTCTGTCACAAAGTCTAGTCAACACATACTGTGTTCAATTGCAGTATCCTGACTAAAATGGAACCTCATAAGTTACAGCTTTGGAACAAAATTACTCACTCACAACTAAATGTTGCTCTGGACTCAGTTGATTATGAATACAGCCAATGTGAACATAATAATAATAATAATAATAATAATAATAAATAAACACATAATTTCAATATTTTTTTCTTAAATACATTTTTTTATTATTTCAAGTTTATTTATGATCTATTTATTATTTATAACAATTTTTATGAACTATTATTCAAAGGTTTGGGATACTGTAAGTAAAATTTTATTTTTCATAAGAAATATTAATAAGAAAGCCATCACAGCAATAAATTGCATTTCTAAATATATAAAAAAATGTAACATTTAAATTTGAATAATATTTCACAATATTATCATTTTCACTGTATTTTTGATAAATACAACCTGGGAGAAGCTTATGCTTCTTTCAAAAAACAAACCAACAAAAACTTTTGAATGGTAGTTTAATACTGTATAAAATGTATTTGCATAAAAATGCTCTTAAAGTGCTGCCTACGGATGCAGCTCACTAAGTTTTGGAACAGAGCAAGTGTCTCAATACATTTCTAGCAGTGTCTGATTTAAACTCATTGTGGGTACCAACAGTAATACACTAAAATTCATTTAAACTCGATTGTCTTTTTACAGAATAAAGCCCTTCCGACTGTTACAGCAACTTCATGTGAGAAGTCCTTGTATAAAGTTCATATTAGATATTTTTATAGGTTGAAATCTTTCCACAGTATTACATTTCGAGTGTTTCTGTTAATACTGTGGTGTGATGTTTAATGGGATACTGTTGTCTTCTCATCCTTTATCATCACAGGCAAGATGTAACACAAACAAACAAACCTTGTTAGAGGCTTGCCAAGTGAACATGTTTAAACAGATGGTGCTTCAGTGAGCTAATAACAACCGTTAATCAGTCTAATATGGCGGTAGTCATGGAAACGTGATGGCATTGTTGGCTCACAGTGAACGTCCAAGCTGTAGTGACGAACTCGCTTCTGCCCCACGAGTGCCGGGTGAGACGCCTCACAGCTCAGCGCCGCTCCGTTATCTTTCCTCTCCACGGGGATACGGATAGTGTTGGAAACACTCACAGTCTTGCCGTTCTCCTGCTGAGAGATCACACCTGAACGAAGAGAGAGGGATGGAAGGAGAAGTCAGTTTGCTCAAATTTTAACAATGTGTGTTCACATTTCAGCCAGACATTATTTACATACCTTACGTACAAAGGATTGCACGCTCGCCCTTATTACTTCAAACAGTATGAATTTGATGCACTGAGCAACACACCTTACTCGCATTGATTTCACAACCACAGAACAGGCTCTATTATCCTTCTGAGACTATTAAGTTTTAATTTGATGATTAAAAAAACGAAATGACAAGGGGCGAGTGAAGGGCAGTAATTGGATGATGAAACAGACAGAGGGAAGTTAGGTCGATAGAGAGTGGGGTCAAACGGAGTTTACATATTTATGAAGGATATTTATGAGGATTACCGTATTATGGGCTACCAACTTTGGTCTTTGTCAGACTCGTATTTACCAGACAGTACCAATAACTTGACTATTGCAATGCCAGATAAAAACAATCAGAATGTCAGTGGCAAAAATGAATGATCTTTAGCCATTTTTTGATATGTAATTTTATACTTGCTTTGTGTTTTATTTTGAATTTTTCATTTTGAACAATGTAGCAATCAAGTATTGTGGTGTCATCAACATCAAAGCCAAAAATAGATACTCTTTTGTGTTGTGTACTGCTATAGAAACAAATAATTTCTGAGTTTGAAGACATGAACAGCTCAGAGAAGATTCTAAAACAACTTTACAATAAGGCTCTATTATATTAAGTAAGTATCATTAACTAAAAATAAACAGTGTCGCGGGGATGACAAAATCTGGAAAAGTGTTCGCATTTTTACACTTTCAGTTCCATCATAACAAAGTCAATGTCTTTTTTTTTTATTTTATTTTTTTATGGGTTTTAAGTTAAATGCCTAAAATAAGGTCTGTGGTTAACATGAGCTCAAGATATTTTCATATTTTATTCTAAACATGAAATACATCAGTCATATCTAATTGGGATTTTGTGTAGCTTTTACTTTTATTTATAGCGGTTTTAAACTATTTCTAGCTTACATTTGGCTTATATTTAGGCTTCAAAATTGAACAAAAAGTATGAACCATAAACATTTGTGTCACAGAGTTTATTTTCTGCAATAATCTAGAAGCCAATGGAAAAACTAGGAAACTAGGCTGATGCTAACTTGAAAGTTCGCCTAAAAATACATAACCATTGGAGCACCCTACATTTTCACAGCATTTCTTCATTTATATGTTAATGTTAATTTATAAATATAGCTTTGTTTATTGTTAAATCATGCTTGATCATTATTCATTAAGTAATGTTAATGTTTGAACTAATCACCCTAGGTTAATATTAATTTAAAAATAAAGCATTGTTTATTGATAAGGTTTGTTCGTAATTTAAGCAATGTAACTGTTTTGATTTGAAATGTTAAAAATGTACACTAGTGTTCAAAGGTTTGGGGTCAGTAAGATTTTTTGGTAACACTTTCTATGAAGCCTGTATTTATAATACATTATAAGAGTATTCTTAAGGCATTATAATGAATGCATAATGTATTATAAAAAAAATTATAATAATGTTGTATCATCTCATGAGTAATCATAACAACAGTTTTAATGCATTATAATATTTACTTATTTGTTGTTATAGCTTTTAAGATTATGATTTATAATACACAATTAACACAATGCATCCACTTAACTTACAATGGATTATATTTCCCATAGTTATAATGTATTATAAGTATCATATCTTGCCATTGTTAACTTGTTACTTTACTTAAAGCAGACAAAGACCACTTATAAATAACAACAACAACAACAACAACAACAACGACAACAACAATAATAATGAAAATAAAAATAATATTTTTTCTTAAACAGCCATAAGATCGGCTATCTGATCAGATGAATGTGTAATATGGCACATTTGATTTTCTTTAAGCATTTTGGAGTGTTAGAAGATAAAGCTTCTAGCTTCAGCTTAAAGCTGTTCTTGTGGGACCAGTTCAGATGATTAGTTTTTAAAGCACAAGTCGAAACAGAAATTCACGCACGCTTTCACATCCATCAAAATCTCCCACACGCAACCTGACAGATACATTTCCAAAGAAAAGCACACATGCTCTTGTACACTCACAGTGGGTTGCCGGTAACGGAGCAGGTGAGACTGAGGGAGTCTCCCTCTCGGAGGATGCCCTGAGGGGGAATGATTTTCACCGTAGGAGCAACTGCAGAGATAAAGAGAAGGATAGAGAGAGGGAATAAAACAGGAAAAGAGCTCTGTCACAAAGTCTAGTCAACACATACTGTGTTCAATTGCAGTATCCTGACTAAAATGGAACCTCATAAGTTACAGCTTTGGAACAAAATTACTCACTCACAACTAAATGTTGCTCTGGACTCAGTTGATTATGAATACAGCCAATGTGAACATAATAATAATAATAATAATAATAATAATAAATAAACACATAATTTCAATATTTTTTTCTTAAATACATTTTTTTATTATTTCAAGTTTATTTATGATCTATTTATTATTTATAACAATTTTTATGAACTATTATTCAAAGGTTTGGGATACTGTAAGTAAAATTTTATTTTTCATAAGAAATATTAATAAGAAAGCCATCACAGCAATAAATTGCATTTCTAAATATATAAAAAAATGTAACATTTAAATTTGAATAATATTTCACAATATTATCATTTTCACTGTATTTTTGATAAATACAACCTGGGAGAAGCTTATGCTTCTTTCAAAAAACAAACCAACAAAAACTTTTGAATGGTAGTTTAATACTGTATAAAATGTATTTGCATAAAAATGCTCTTAAAGTGCTGCCTACGGATGCAGCTCACTAAGTTTTGGAACAGAGCAAGTGTCTCAATACATTTCTAGCAGTGTCTGATTTAAACTCATTGTGGGTACCAACAGTAATACACTAAAATTCATTTAAACTCGATTGTCTTTTTACAGAATAAAGCCCTTCCGACTGTTACAGCAACTTCATGTGAGAAGTCCTTGTATAAAGTTCATATTAGATATTTTTATAGGTTGAAATCTTTCCACAGTATTACATTTCGAGTGTTTCTGTTAATACTGTGGTGTGATGTTTAATGGGATACTGTTGTCTTCTCATCCTTTATCATCACAGGCAAGATGTAACACAAACAAACAAACCTTGTTAGAGGCTTGCCAAGTGAACATGTTTAAACAGATGGTGCTTCAGTGAGCTAATAACAACCGTTAATCAGTCTAATATGGCGGTAGTCATGGAAACGTGATGGCATTGTTGGCTCACAGTGAACGTCCAAGCTGTAGTGACGAACTCGCTTCTGCCCCACGAGTGCCGGGTGAGACGCCTCACAGCTCAGCGCCGCTCCGTTATCTTTCCTCTCCACGGGGATACGGATAGTGTTGGAAACACTCACAGTCTTGCCGTTCTCCTGCTGAGAGATCACACCTGAACGAAGAGAGAGGGATGGAAGGAGAAGTCAGTTTGCTCAAATTTTAACAATGTGTGTTCACATTTCAGCCAGACATTATTTACATACCTTACGTACAAAGGATTGCACGCTCGCCCTTATTACTTCAAACAGTATGAATTTGATGCACTGAGCAACACACCTTACTCGCATTGATTTCACAACCACAGAACAGGCTCTATTATCCTTCTGAGACTATTAAGTTTTAATTTGATGATTAAAAAAACGAAATGACAAGGGGCGAGTGAAGGGCAGTAATTGGATGATGAAACAGACAGAGGGAAGTTAGGTCGATAGAGAGTGGGGTCAAACGGAGTTTACATATTTATGAAGGATATTTATGAGGATTACCGTATTATGGGCTACCAACTTTGGTCTTTGTCAGACTCGTATTTACCAGACAGTACCAATAACTTGACTATTGCAATGCCAGATAAAAACAATCAGAATGTCAGTGGCAAAAATGAATGATCTTTAGCCATTTTTTGATATGTAATTTTATACTTGCTTTGTGTTTTATTTTGAATTTTTCATTTTGAACAATGTAGCAATCAAGTATTGTGGTGTCATCAACATCAAAGCCAAAAATAGATACTCTTTTGTGTTGTGTACTGCTATAGAAACAAATAATTTCTGAGTTTGAAGACATGAACAGCTCAGAGAAGATTCTAAAACAACTTTACAATAAGGCTCTATTATATTAAGTAAGTATCATTAACTAAAAATAAACAGTGTCGCGGGGATGACAAAATCTGGAAAAGTGTTCGCATTTTTACACTTTCAGTTCCATCATAACAAAGTCAATGTCTTTTTTTTATTTTATTTTTTTATGGGTTTTAAGTTAAATGCCTAAAATAAGGTCTGTGGTTAACATGAGCTCAAGATATTTTCATATTTTATTCTAAACATGAAATACATCAGTCATATCTAATTGGGATTTTGTGTAGCTTTTACTTTTATTTATAGCAGTTTTAAACTATTTCTAGCTTACATTTGGCTTATATTTAGGCTTCAAAATTGAACAAAAAGTATGAACCATAAACATTTGTGTCACAGAGTTTATTTTCTGCAATAATCTAGAAGCCAATGGAAAAACTAGGAAACTAGGCTGATGCTAACTTGAAAGTTCGCCTAAAAATACATAACCATTGGAGCACCCTACATTTTCACAGCATTTCTTCATTTATATGTTAATGTTAATTTATAAATATAGCTTTGTTTATTGTTAAATCATGCTTGATCATTATTCATTAAGTAATGTTAATGTTTGAACTAATCACCCTAGGTTAATATTAATTTAAAAATAAAGCATTGTTTATTGATAAGGTTTGTTCGTAATTTAAGCAATGTAACTGTTTTGATTTGAAATGTTAAAAATGTACACTAGTGTTCAAAGGTTTGGGGTCAGTAAGATTTTTTGGTAACACTTTCTATGAAGCCTGTATTTATAATACATTATAAGAGTATTCTTAAGGCATTATAATGAATGCATAATGTATTATAAAAAAAATTATAATAATGTTGTATCATCTCATGAGTAATCATAACAACAGTTTTAATGCATTATAATATTTACTTATTTGTTGTTATAGCTTTTAAGATTATGATTTATAATACACAATTAACACAATGCATCCACTTAACTTACAATGGATTATATTTCCCATAGTTATAATGTATTATAAGTATCATATCTTGCCATTGTTAACTTGTTACTTTACTTAAAGCAGACAACAAAGACCAATTATTAACAACAACAACAACAACAGCTATATTAATAAAAAATGTTTCTTAAACAGCCATAAGATCAGATATCTGATCAGATGAATGTGTAATATGGCACATTTGATTTGAACTATATTTATTGTAATATCAATAAGATACTGTACAGATCTTAAATAAATACTGTCAAGATATGAGACTTATAATCCATTATAAATTAAGTGAATTTAACATGGCGTTTATTGCATGTTATAAATAATCATACTTTCATAGAAAGTGTTACCGATTTTTTAAAATAATAATAATAATAATATTACTGTTTTACTGTATTTTTGATCAAATAAATGCAGCCTTGGTGAGCATACAAACTTCTTTCCAAAACATTAAGCCTAGATTACTAAATGCTGTAAAAGTACTGTTAGTAATGCATTCACTAAATTGAAAATGTTAAAGTGTTATCCAATCTCAGAGTTACCATCTCACAATAAAATGACATAAACGCAGCATTGGTGTAACCGCACTGGCCAGTTTTTTTATGTTTGTGTCACTCCGCTTGTCTGTGTTAATGGCATTCCAGACCAGAATATGCAAGTGGCTTTGTGGAGTTTGTGGAGTCATTTTTCCAGACAGGCTGTCAGCCTGTGTGTTGTCTGAAACATGTTACCTGACATAAACTTGTTTATATAACTCTTACTTGTGTGATATTGCTTAAATAACCTTGATCAGGCAGACATTTAAATTATGTTTACTGAAGCGGAACAGCGGTGGGCTCAGAAAGTCTAAATTCAAACTGAGCCCTGTCTTACTGAATCTGTCGCAGACAGACAGACACTTGTGCTCACAGCTTTATATTTCAACAACATTGATAGCAAGCCAAGCCTACAATCTCACCCTACACTTTCCTTGCCTCTTTTTTCCCTGTCTCTGTGTCTTTGTCATTTTCATTCTCTGTGTTTTCCCCTTATTTGAAGCCCAAAACAAAAAGATAGAGCAAATATGATGGCAGTGAGAAAAAGAGAGGAGAGAAAGCAGGAAAATGAGAGGCACAGATTGGGGCCGCACCTGGATCCAGTTCTGTGTGTGGAGGGGTGTATGTGCCAAAAAAACGTTCATCTGCACACATCCGAAGAGACCCAGATGGACAGATGCATTTGAAATTCGATAGAGTGACATAAATCAATAGAGGGGAAAATGTGCCAATGAGCAAACACATGGGGGAGAGGAGCAAAGCGTATAGTCCTGGCTGTCAGAGATTAGTTGAAATGCATGACATTTACCGTGAAGACAGAGAGTCTGACAAAGAGACAAAGCAAATATGCACAATATGCACAAATGTGAAGGATTTTTAAGAACAGCTGACTCTTTCGTGTTTGTATATGTGCTTATATGTGTCTTTCATGTTTGTAAGCGCATGTATAATATATAAATGTGACTTTTACATTAAACTCACCTGCGATTTCTCGGCGGTCTCGAACCCAGCGCAGTGTGGCTGGTGGTTTGCTCCGCGGGGACATGCATGTGAGTTCCACCTCTCCACCCTCCACTGCCTCTGTCTTCACCTCCACTGTAGGGACCTCCGGGGGCACCACCACCGACAGCGTCGCCACCTGGTGGTGTGTGTCATCGGTGTAGAGCTGACAGAAGTAGCCGCCCTCGTCAGATACACTTACATTAGTCAATGTGATCCGCACCAGGCGCGGCGTGAAAAGAACCATCTGAAAACGGTCGTCTTTCAGTGCTAGAAGAGAGAGAGTAAGGATAAAGGAACCCCAGGATAAGCAAGTTCAAATTAAATTAAAATTTAGCCTATTTGCTTTCTAAATGCATCCTTGTAGTCTTATTTTGAGCAATTTCACTGGTGCATGTTATTGCAAAGAAGAAAATGTGTCTTTTTAATTTTTAATCAAAATGGAATGACTTTCTCTTTCTCTGAAATGACTTCCCTTTTCCACTGACGTCCAAATAGGCATTTAAGCATTGTTTTAGCAATCCTATTTCGAGTTTTGCTTCATTCTGGTTTATAACGCCTTCTTTTCACAATGATTAAAATCAAGTCAAGCCCATTACATAAGTAAAATGGGTTGTGGTTGGCAATTCACACTAACTTAAAGTAACAAAAGTAAAAGTAAATTGACAGTAAAGGCATAATATGTTTATATTAGAATGATTTCTGAAGGATAATGTGACACTGAAGACTGGAGAAATGACTGCTGAAAATTCAGCTTTGTCATCACAGGAATCAATTACATTTTAAAATATACTATAATAGAAAACAGATATTTTAAATTGTAATAATATTTCCGATTATGACTGTTTTTTACTGTCTTTTTAATTCAATAAATGCAAACTTGGTAAGCATAAGAGATTTCAATCATTAACATTAAAGGGGTCATATGATGCTGCTAAAAAGAACATTATTTTGTGTATTTGGTGTAATGAAATGTGTTTATGTGGTTTAAAGTTCAAAAAACACATTATTTTCCACATACTGTACATTATTGTTTCTCCTCTATGCCCCGCCTTTTTGAAACGCGTCGATTTTTACAAAGCTCATCGGTCTGAAAAAGCGAGGTGTGCTGTGATTGGCCAGCTATCCAATGCGTTGTGATTGGCCGAATACCTCAAGCGTGAGACGGAAATGTTACGCCCCTCACATACTGTTGATGCCGTGTCCGGCCGGAGCGACGAGACAAACATTAAAACCCATTACAAACGAGGCATTTGTTGCATCCAGTGGGGACATAATTACTGATTATAATGACTTATACTGTCTTTTTACGC